AGATGAGTTTTTGAATGTCACTTAGATGAAATATAGTTAGTGTCACATTATGCAATGTGTAATGGTGGTGAAGATCAGAAAAAAAATTCGCAACTTGTGTAAAAAAAAAAAGACATGCATTTGAAGAAGCATACGAATGTTTATGTTCATTGAAATGCAACTTTCAACAAGAAGAGGTTCTGATCTGCTGTACCAGAAAAAAAGTTTAATGGTGAAGTAGAAATGTTTCACCAAACAAAAAAGATACTGCATTGTGAGCTTCTTCGCTGTCGAAAATGTTTAATAGACATGTAAACTTAGTCGTTAAAGGCGAAGCAAAATTTTGACAGATTCTACTTAATCTGACTCAGATTTTTCGTGCAGTCCTTCTTCACTTGTAATAAAGAATTCCTCTTTTCAATTCATTGACGATAAATAATCCAATATTTACTTGTACAAAACTTCATGTTTCCTCAAAAACGTTTTCGAAGTTTGCTTGATTGAGAATATGTTATTATTAGTCGTCGTCGAAGACGGCGAAAAATATTATCGTTTGTACGAAAAAATGTGATGTGCTGCTCAAATCTATCAATCTGATAGAAGGAGAAAAGTGTGTGACTCTACCTTAGTCTACGAAGCGCAAATCTAGGATAGACTTTCAACTTTATCAAACCTTGTGGCTCCATCGCCTATACTTATTGGACATGAGTTGGCAGTAGATAAAATGTGGATCGATCGTGTAACAACACGTCATTTATCAGACGAAAATGAAAATTAATCTATTCACTATAAGATAGACTTGAGCCTGCCTAAGCCTCATGGCTTCGTCGCCTATGTTTCTTATTACATTTCTCGAAAATTAAGTAAAAGAATACTGAAGAAATGTGTCACAAAGTAGATAGGATAAAATAGTCTCACAACTATATCGTGTTTGGCATTTTAATCTCGTAGGAATTGTACTAACAGTTCTTTTTAAAGAGAGAATTAGTTTTATTAATTTTCTCATTGATTTAGGTGGTGAAAAGCAACGTATAAGTATTGCTCGAGCTCTTCTAAAAGATCCAGTTATTCTTATTTATGATGAAGCTACTGCTCATTTGGATACAACAACTGAACAAGTAAATATATATTTCTTTTATTTTTGTTTTTTGGTTTCTCATTTTCGATTCTTTTGTTCTTAGGCTATTTTAAATTCTCTTAGAAAATTAACAAAAAATCGAACATCAATTGTTATTGCACATCGTTTAAGTACAGTAACTGATTGTGATAATATTATTATTTTGGATCAAGGTAAAGTTATTGAACAAGGTACACATGATGAATTATTAGCAAAACAAAATGGTCATTATGCATCTATATGGAATTCTCAACGAACACATAGAAAACTTCATGAAGATAAAAAAGAAGAAGTTAATATTGATGGAAAACAAATAGAAAAATATGATAAATCAACGAATGATGAACCATTACAAAAATGAGTTGTTTTGTTTTTTTTTTCTGGAATTTTGTTAGTTTTTAATTCTGCATCTTTACAAAAAAATACATTAGGAACTATTAACATTCGTGTGTAAAATAAATACAAAAATCTAGAATGTCTCTTCTTTTTTTTCTATTTTTCGATGATTACCGACGATGATGATGGTCCACCTCAATTGTCAGCTGAAACATTAAAAGTTCTTCAGGAATGGCAACAAGAACAACAACAAAATAAAGCAACTGATGAACCAAAAGAAGATTGGGTTAGTGAATTAATCAAACTAATATTTTCATAGGTCAAATTTGTATGAATATGAAAAATTTTATTTTAATATTATTAAACAAAAATATTCAAATGTGCGATTATCATGGAAATTTAATTAAATTCTTGAGCATATTGAGACATTTAATATTAATATTCATATGAGAAATTTTTTTGTAACTAATACTTTCGTACAGTAAATAGTTTCTTCTAGAAAAATCATACATATATAGGACTGCTCAAAATTATAAGAACAAGGCCTTGTTGATTTTTCTGTGTACTGCCAATTATCTAACTCAAATCTAAACGGTGATTTGCTTACAAGAATCACAAAACATGAAAAAAATTAAAATTTATGTAAAAATCATTGAAAAATACATTATTTTGTACTCTTTAAGATAATACTATTGAAAATGAATCCATTCAACGTTTTCTGGGATCCAAAAACTACTGTGTTCGTTTTTTTTTTCTTAGAAAACTTTCTCGAACATTCTAACAATGAATCTTTGATATATAGTGCATTTAATCGAGAAATTTATTGGTCATCTAACTCAATATTTGAATCTGAGTTAGATACTTGATATTACAGAAAAAAATCGGTAATTTTCATTTTCGTCAATTTCAATATCGTCGAAGGAATTCATAACCGACAATGAATCTGGATGAAATATGATCCGTTGGATATATAACATATTATTATAATTAATTAGTTGATTACCAAGCCGATTAAATATGTTGCTTGATCGAAATCAGATACCACCAGAAGAAGGTTTCATCTGTCCTAATTTTTATCCAAAAACACTTGTGACATAGTATAGTTTCTACATTTGGTTGAGGGTTGAATAATTAGATGCAGACGTATTCGTGGAAAGTTAGTATTTTGTTCTAGATGTGAGTATGAATCTAACTATTTGAGCCTGTAGCAAAATGTAGAGACGATTCTACTGCTACAATTCTTTTGGATGAAAATTAAGACAGATAAAACTTTCTTCTGATTGTATTTGTTTTCGATCCGGCAACAGATTTAATCGACTTGGTAATAAACTTATTAATTATAATAATGTGTTGTATTTTACAATAGATCATTTTTGATTCAGACTCGTTTTCAGTTATGAATTCATTCGGAGAAGATGAACTATTTCTTCATCTTCAGATAGTGTTGGATTTTCGACATAAGACGCAATTAGTTAAAATTAAAGAAGTTCTATTTCAGAGATTATATCATTGAAATATTTTTTATGAATTGAAGCATGCGATGAATCTTAGAGTATTCTACTCTTTTGACTGACTGCTTGTTTTCTTTAAATTACGCACGATAGCTGTTTTTTTTTTCTTATATAGTTTGTTATAAGTTTTTGATAGTTACAAATACTATGATGATTTTAAGAAAGATTTCAAAAAAATGATTAAATTTTGATTTCTTTAGCACCTAAGTCAATTTTGGTATAACAAGGAAACAGCTACACGATTGATGAATGAAGTAATAGCCATCTTACCTCAATATGGAAAGTAAGCAAAATAAAATGATTCTCTTCTGTATATTAGAATGAATCTATATGTTTTATTTTTTGTTCTTTCAGATGTGCTTGTATTGCTTGTCCAACTGTGTGGAGTCTCATGCATAAAGTAGAATATTTTTTTGTAATGATTTATATATATTCAAATTATTAAAACTTAAAATAGGAATATCCGGAAATTGAAAATATACTATTCGAATATGATATTCGTTTTGCTGCTAATAATAAGTCTTTTATAAAATATGATTATAATGATGATGATCGAATTGAAGAAATTTATGCACCTTGGAAACATTCATTCGATGTTTTAATTGTTGATCCACCATTTCTTTCTCGAGAATGTTTTGAGAAAGTATCTCGTCTAGTTAAATTTATTGGAAAACCGACACCTCAATGTAAACATATCATTTGCACTGGTATACAATTATTCATCTAATTATTATTATTTAAAATCAAACTAAATAATGAATTCTTTTTTTTCGAATTTATTCTAGGTACTATTCAAGAAGAAAATGTCAAGGAATGTTTTCCGGGTGCTTATCGTGTCGCATTTCAACCTCGACATGAACGTAATCTAATGAATCCATTTGCTTGTTTTGTTGATTATGAAACAAAAACATTGAATACAGAATAAAAAAGAATAAATGATTGTTTTCTGAAAACATCAATCATGATGACGTTGATGACACATCTCTTATATACTTTTCATACTAAATATACGAAGTATTCTTCTGAAAACAACTGATCAGCAACAATCATTCATATATTTGTTACGAATCTGTTTAGAGTAAGATTTTGAAGTCAAAACAATTATAAACCAAAACATTTAGTGAATATAACTCTGCCAATTAAATACAAACATTTTTATATTAGTAGACCTATTCATGTCGCACAATTATTGGTAGTAACGATGATATACTGGTAACTGGTTACCAGTCAGAGAACAACTGTTGATATAGCACGGTAGAATGGTAGTCCGAGGATAACCTGTTGCTTATGTATCACATTGCCATCTGTTTGTATCATCACCGACAAATATCACTGGTATAGCACACATTATTCCGAACGATCTATTAGTAATTTACCGACATTTTTCTATCTAATTTGAATTACATGAGTAGAACTTTCATTGAAATTGAGTAAGATACACTAGACGAGTAATAGCCGTTATTCAGATTAATTTCTTCGTATTTCACGCATTTCTTCAGTTAATAAACGATATGTCTCATGTTTGAAGCAATTTTTTTATTCGATATGAAAGTTTTTGGTCTAATGTAATAATCACTTGAAAAAAAATCATTTCTAAATTCTCTTTCTAATCGAACTGAACTATTCATATGTAAATGTATAATTAAGACATCCTCTTATTTCATAAAAATGTAAAGACAAATTTTTTTCCTAATTGTGCTCATTACGCTATTCAAGGCAATAAGTTCAAGGCATATTTATTTTGATAGCACCTATTGAATTATATTTAAACCTTGACCAGAGTGTACATTGATCAAATCATTTTTTTTTCTCTGTCATTAAATATGGAATGAAAGACATTGAAAAAAAATCAAATAAAGAAAAGAAGTGAAGAAGTGAAAGAGAAAAATCATCGAAGTATGACCAACGAACATGTATAAATATTCTCGATTGTTCATGTTCAATGATATAATAAATCATACTCTCTTTTTACGTCTTTTCAACAAAGAAAAACGAGGCATATATAAATATACATAATCGACATTATATAATTTATTTCCAGAAGAATATTGAACACAATGTCTTATCCTTTACAACCTTATAAACCAAATAATGGAGCTCTTGTTGATCAACAGTTTAATAGAGCTATTCCTAACGGTTATAATGGTGGTGGTAATGATTGGATCGGTTCTCTTTTTGGTTTTGCTAGTCGATTGATGGGTGAAATTCTACGAAATGATCCTGATATTGGTGGTATATCAGCATTGATGGGTTCAAATCCATGTAATCCTTATGGAAAAGTATTTGGTATAAGTGCAATGAATGTAACACAAATTTCACCTGGACTTGATGGTCGACCACATGTGGTTCAAGCACATGATGAACGTCGAATAGGACCAGGTGGAATTTGGCAAACCAAAAAAGCATTACGTGATCCAGGTCGTGGTATTGACAAGATGCAACTTGGCTATTTTGCTGGTGATCGTGCTGAAATAATTCAACGTCGACTAGATCCATACACAGGACAATACCAACAAGAAATTCAACGACGTGGAATACCTACTAATGGACCTAATTTATCACATCATAGGCAAATGCAATCGCAACCAACTATACAACAAACACCTCGATTGCAACCACAACAATATCAATATTATCCACAACAACAACAACAACAACAACAACTGCCACCCTATTCACAACAACCACAACTTCCATTTCATACACAGCAGCCACAACAGGCTCTTCCAGCACCTTCGCGCTATCAATACTTATAGACAATTCTTTTTACGATTTTACTGAATTTATATATCAAATAATAAATAAACAAAAATGAAAAAGAAAATAGTTAGTTTTATTTTTTTTAAATTTTAAGCTTTGATAGATTAAAATGAACATGAGAAAAAAATGTCTAAATTTGTTGGTGATTATGCTTTATACATATATATAATTAAACGCTATCTGGACCAGCCCAAATAAGCCATAAAGCATGAATAGCACCAGGTAGCCATCCAAGAATAGTCAATATTACATTAATCCAAAAATGTTTCGTACAACCAACCTAAATCGATAAAAAAATAAATTTTCATTATAAAAGATTTTAATTGCAAAGAAATATACTTTAATAAGTGCAGCTATTGGCGGTAATAAAATAGCCAAAATTGACAAAAGAATTTTACCGATGAGGTCACCCATAATAAATTTATATAACAATGAGTAAAAAAAGAAAATTAAAGAATTATTATATCTGAAAAGTAAAAATAAATATTTAAACAAAATTGTATCAATATGTAAGGAAAAATATGTTTTGTATTCATACATAACAATAATCATAATCGAAATATAAAATATAATTCTATTTATCAATAATCAAAACAAAGAAATAAGAAAGAATCATAGAAGAGTCGTTTTTTTTTCATTAGTTTTTATGATTAAAAGACTGAAGAATTTTTTCTCTCACCATATTCATCTCACGCACAACACGAAAACATAAAAAACAAATGATTGTTATTCGCAGTTATCGTCACACAATTAACAAAACATAAGTAAATAGCAATGCATATAAACACAAAACAAGTTTAAATAACATAACGCATCGATATACTTACTTCGTGCATGATGTCTAAACGAAAAATAATACCTATCAAGCTACGATCAACACCCAATGTTACTATATATTTTTATCAATATTCATATGAATAAATAATAAAAATAAAAGAAGATACGTATAGAAAGGGATATAATGATGTTATTGCATTCGTCTTAATTTATCAGAATCATCATGATGTTGTTTGAATGGCACTAAAAATCAAACATAGCTATGCATATTCACTGATCATTCATATATCTTTATCATACCTGCACGGTTTGTATCGAGTAAGGAAAAGAAATGAATATTTTAAATTCGAGACCACTCATACTGTTACGCATACAATATATATTCGTTCCGGTTCAGTAAATAATAATTTTTTCTTGAAGTCACTGTTGAAATGAGTCAATATTTGTTTTTATATATAACGTAAAAAAAACGATGATCTAAATCAATTACCTATCATATTTATGATTCATTTGTTTTTAAGAATACAAAGCAGATATATACATACTAATGAGAAGCATGTTTTTATCTGTACACATCTATTGACTAATCGTATTGTGTATTGTATTGATTAACCGCTGTGAAACAACGATATTTTCTTTTTATTATTTTCATTGTTTAGTATTAGACACACAGATATATTGGAAGTCTGTACTATATGTAATGATAAACACCAAACAAAGAAATGCTTTAAACTTATCTGCAAATACAAGAATAGGATATCAAAGTTCAGAAAGCTTAAAATGTTATTTGACTGCCAATAAAAAGTTTCGATGTGTACTCTTATCTACTTTGAAACAAAGAGTTTTGTAGGTTTTTATTTCAATATAAGTAACATAAAAATAGTAGATGAATGTTATCAAATATGATCTTGAAGATTGTAATATAAATACCATTTTTTACTAATCTAAATTGATGAACATGGGACAATACGTCGTATTTCAATGTTTTCTCAGATGCTATAGAAATTTTTGGAAATATTCTTAAGTAAACGCATTAAACGTATAATGAATGTATGACGACCAAAAAACTTATGGAATGTTTGCAGGGAAGTTTTAGTCTATTTTCATTTTCATTTCTCATTGATAATGATTACAGACAAAAAAAAAATTTCAATAGAAGTTTCACAAAAACTATCGTTCTTTGGTTGCAAATTCAGATTGAAATTTTGATTTTTTTTTTATAGTTTCAATTTTTTTATGTAAAAAATTTTAAACAATGAATAAGTATTTTTTTTTGTTTTTCTGCAATGACTATATATTTTCGTTATAATTATTTTCTGATGATAAGGACATGGGAACATTGAATGATTCGTAAATTTTCATGAATTAATAAATAGAATGTTTTGAAGCCATTACTAGAACAAAGATTTCTATTCAGAGTTCTCAGATAAATAATTAAATATTAAAAAATTGAGTTCCATATAGATATTTTATATTTTTTTAAAACAATTGAATCGAATGTATGATCAGCAGGGACGAGGTGAGAGAAATTTTTAAAGGTAAACGTGCCTTATATCATTTTTATGACTTATCATTACGATATGATAGTAAAATAAATGATTATAACTATTAATAAAATGGAAAGTTAATTTTTTTTCCAAATAATGCAATTGATGGTATATGACAATTAATGGTTCTTATTAGAACAATTTAATATTTAGTGAATGTCATTGAATTTTTTAAATTCAAGTACTGAAATACATAATTATTTTCAAAATGACGTAATAAATAATTCTAAATCAAGTAATTATTTTATATCCTAATAATAACACCAAAACTTAAATACAACAATAAGCATCAATTACAGTATGACTGATACAATCAAAATAATAGAGCATTTAGAAGACTGAAATGCATACAACAAAAATCGTTGGTTTTTTTATTAGTAAAATAGAAAAAATTCAAAAAAATGAAAACATTTATTTATTGTTGTGTTTAATGTGAGTCTATTTTGTACACTTCTGTCCAAATGAATTATTTCACATTGTTTACGAAGCTTTATTCCTATTATAAAATCTTTTTTTTAAGAGAATTTTTTAAAATTATTTCGCACATTCCAAACTCAACTGAATTCTCATGTCAGCTGTACTAGATATTTATATTGTATTATGAATATGGTCATATAGAGACTTCAATCCGCTCGAATTAACTTTATTTTGAAAGACGATAACTATTAACAAATAGATATGATGAATCATTTTTTCCATCCGTGAGAGTTACCTTACGTTACGTGTTTGTCATATCGCTGTGACGCATTTCGTATGTTTTTCTTGTTTGAATATTTACTTCTACCTAGTAGCTATCGTCAACCAATACCGACTTGCTTAATCATTCTTCTTCGAGTGATTATGAAAGAAATGAAGATTGTTTCACCAAGTGAATGTTCGCTAGCGATGCTTTTGAGTTTGATGACTAGCAGGTGCGACATTCAAAAAAAGAAGTAGACTTTCTCATAGATGCTGGAACAGCTAAGTTTCAATTATCGTTTCTCAAAGGAATCTATAGATCATATTAAGAAAGCAAAGAATTACGCGAAATAGTCGACAAAAAAAAAGAAGAAAATGAAGATGATGATATCAATATAGAAGACGATAACATTGAATAACTTTTATTAAACATAATTATCAAGAACAACATTTAGGAACTTGGTGGTTAGAGTATATAATCTCTAAATGCAGTCAAAACGCGTTTCAATGAATACTCACATTGAGTCACATTTGAGTTTCAGACGCGTTCGGTTGCTGAAATTTATCAAACATGTCTAAATGCATTTCAGCGAACACACCAGTGTAAAATGCGTTTGCACGTATTTCAAGATCAAACCAAAACTGATTTTATTATCGAGTAACTAACAAAGCATTTGAGAGGTTTTAATATTTTTGTTTGTTTTTTATGATATGTCGAACATTTGTCTGTGAATTAATCTACTCTGCATGACGTTTAGCTGAATATGGTTAATGGCATATTATTAAATCATCTGTTTACAAATATTTTGCACAACATCATAATTCCTCTTTTCATGCAATGTGACATATAGTTTTAAGAATATCTATATCATAATGATTTCAATGATATTTTCTTTATAAAAAAGAAGAATCGTTTTTCTAATTGCAGATCTCATTTTTATGCTACACAAGTTTCTGATTTTTCGAATCTATACTATTTTTTTTTGTACAAAGAACTTCATTTTTAAATGAATGATAATCATGCTAACGAAGAAATCTCCTCAGCTACTTCCTTCCGATTGAAATGTTTTTTTGCCTATAGATATCACAGATTGTTCTAATAAAAACTTATAAAACCGAATGTTTAATACATCTATTTTCTAGAAGCCTTTGCAGGATCAGAGGTTTCAGAGGACTTATATTTTCAAATTTCGGTCTGAAACTTTGTGCATATAGAAAGCTCAAATAGATCAGCTTCCATAAAAAGGTCAAATGTTTTGAACAAAATCTCTTCGAAATATGAAACTTTCAAGATAGAGACTCTTTTCTATGGATAATATTTACAACATGCACTTTTTGAAAACTTCATATCTCGAAGAGACTTTGTTCAAAACTTATTAGTTTTTTTATGAAACCTAGCTTAGTTGAGTTTTCTATATGCATAAAGCTTCCAACTGAAATTCAAAACTAAGAGTTTTTCGAAAACTCAGAATCCTACAAGGGCCTTTAGAAAAAAGTTTGATAACTAAGTCAAATTTCAATAGAAACCAAAATCGTTTTAGGAATTTTTATTAGAATCTTATACAATATCTATAGGCAAAAAATTATTGAAATCGAAAAGTGCCAGCTGAAGAGGTTTACTTGTAAATGATCCGAGCACAATATGATTAAATTGCTTGAAAATGTGTTTAATAATATTACATAAATAAAAATAATTATTTCTGTTCATTTAATGCAACATATTGAAAATTAACATGAATTAAAATCTACCTTACACAAATGAATATGGATTTTTGTCCCTAATCGAGATCAATGAATATTTGTTTTGTTGGATAGAACTTTTTCATAGTTTGTTTTAGATCAGATATTCGGTTGTATGCCTCATCGCCGAAACTCGCGTCGAAGCAAACATTATCGAGAAGAAAGATCGCCGAAATCAACATCATCGAAATGCAGATCGCTGAATTCATTTCGATCATCTATTAGCTTATTAGAGTTAGCACTGTATCAAGTTA